GAAAACTGTGGTACATCTACACGATGGAATATATGCTGCTGTAAAAAAAGAAGGGAACTCTTACCATTGCAACAGCATGGATGGAACTGGAGAGCATTATGCTAAGTGAAACAAGCCAGTCAATGAAGGAAAAATACCACATGATCTCACTCATTCATGGATAATAAAGACCATTACAAACTTTTGAACAATAATAGATACAGAGGCAGAGCTGCCTCAAACTGATTGTCAAACTGCAGTGGGAAGGCCAGGGAGGGTTGGGGGGCAGGAGGGCGGGGGGTTAGAGATCAACCGAAGGACTTGTATGCATGCATATGAGCATAACTAATGGACATAAGACACTGGGGGGTAAGGGAGGCCAGGGGATTGTCAAGGGTGGGGGAAAAAAAAAGGACACATATGTAATACCCTTTGTAATACTTTTAGCAAAAAAAAAAAAAAAAAAAGACTGACTGCTTTTCCCCTAAGGTCAGGAACATGACAAGGATGTCCACTCTTGCCACTTCCATTTAGCATTGTAACAGGAAGTTCTAGCCAAGGCAGCGAGGCTAGAAAGAGAAATGAAAAACATCCAAATTAACAAGGAAGAAGTAAACCTATCTCTATTGCAGATAACATAATTTTGTATATAGAAAATCGTAAGGAATCCACTAAAACACTATTAGAACTACTAATATAGGAACAAGATCCATATACAAAATTCAATTGTATCTTCCTATATTAGCAATGAACATTCTGGAAATTAAGAAAATAATTCTATTTAATGCCATGAGACTGGATAAATCAGGACAGGGGAAAGTAAGTTCTGAGGTCATCACCACTGAAAGGTCAGGGAGATGAGGAGCCAGTGAGGCAGCTGGACATCCAAGAGAGGGTTGTATCCTGGGGGCAAATATTTGAGGAAGAAGGAGATCAGCCCTGTGTGATGTGCTGAAGAGTGAGTAAGCTGAGTGGGGATTCACAACTCAGGAAGGGATGAGCATGGGAGAATGGGAGAGGGAGGGGGAAGGGCAGAGGTCTGCCTAGAACCAATACTTTGAAAAAATGCAATAAAGATTGAATACTAGAAAAATGAATATGCAAGTCCTTTTTTTCCTTATTAGATTCAACAGACATGAATATTCTCAAATCATCATAAAAGGGTGTAAACACTCAATTTCTGTAATCGGTAGCAGTTTGCGAGTAGACTGGTACTGCTCCGTGGAATCCACTTTGTGTTGTGTAGGTCTAGGTTTGGCCAGGGGAGCAGGAGCTGAAATTCATTTAATGGAGAATCCTGTATCAAATGGCAGGAGGTGCTTGTCAGAGAAAAAACATCAGTTTCACCCTCTAAGAGGCTGTCTATCTCCTTGTTCAGAAAGCATGAAACCTGAATTTTGGTCCCATATAGTTTATAATCACGAGCAAGTCAGAAATCACAAGAAGCATATTCCGAAGCACTGTCCCTTTCTATGAATGGTAACAGCTGTCTGCTGTCTTCCCTGCAGTCCTGACATTTGTATGGTATTTTATTCTGAATTGCTCATTTAAGCCTCGTCCAACCTTGTGAAGTGGGTGGGTGTTTCATCTTTGTGAAGAAATGGGCCTAGAGAGATGGGACAACCCCTTTGTCCTCATGCTGCTTGAATGTGAGAGAGCCCGGTCTACCCTGTTAAACCCACGAATTTGCTGCCAGGTTGGCTGCAGGATTTTTACATCCCTTCCAGATACGAATTGAATGTCAGCTGTACGTTGATGGTTGATGTCCCACTCTGTTATGACTCTGAAGGTTGAGTTTGGTGTCACTTTGGGTGGGTTTGTGGGTGAATGGGTATAGCAAGGTAAGTAGACTTTGTCTTTCAATTTAAACAGTTGCTGGATTACACAATCATTGGCTTTAAATTCTGATCAGAAGTGCTGTTGGTTTTCTAGAAATGCTGCCTTGTGACTGTGTTGTTTCCTCTTTCATAGTGTACGAATTATTTGCATTCATCAGTCACATGGGAACATCTACAATGAGTGGCCATTATGTTTGCCATATCAAAAAGGAAGGAAGGTGAGTCTTTTTAGAAGGTAAATAATACATGTGTTTTATTGAGCGATAGGCACTGTACTAGGTGCTTCATATGTTATCACATGTAGCTTTCACAATGGTCTTGTAGGATATACTCTTAAGACTATTTAAGACACTGAGGCTCAGGGAGACCAAATAGCTTGATCTTAGCTAGTTATTTCTTGGGTCAGAGCTGGTATCCAATGCCGCTCTCAACCATCATGCCATCATACCAAGGTAATTTTCCACAGTAAAGATGCATCCTACAGCAGAATGTATGTCATATTGGAAACCTCCATAGGATTGCCAGATTAAGCAAAATAATAATAATAATAAATAATAATAATAAAGGAAAACCAGTTGCCCTATTAAATTTGAATTTCAGGTAAAGGTAAGTGAATTACTTTTTGAGTAAGTGAATTACTCAAATATTGCACGAGACATACTTATACTGAAATATAATTTGTTGCCTACCTGAGATTGAGATTTGACGGGGTATCCTGTGTTTTATTTGGCAACACTGAGCGGTCAGTGTCTTGCTTTATGGCAGCCTTGCAGTAGGACTCATGGCATCTTAAGTAGAATTGTTAGGTGTGTGGTGAACTGGGAATGAGACTGGTTTCCTCCCGGGAGCTCCCCACTGAGTGGCCTGGGGGTTGGCACTCCTGCTCAAGGCAGTGCTTGGGCCCTGTGGACGCTGAAGAAACATGTGACCTTGGCCTCTCCTAGAGGATGTTGACCTCTCACCCCATGCCTCGCACTGCAGCAGTGACCAGTTCTCACCCAGCATCGATTGTGTTCCTTTTTGCCGTATCTTTTGGTCTTGTTTCCACTTGATTCATAAAATAGTTGAGCACAGAGACTTGATTTATAGTGAATTCCTTTTATTACCCGGCCTGATAGCTCTTTTAAAAATGCTTAAGAGTAATGGTTTAATTATAATTTAAAAAGCAATAAAATTCATCATAAGGAGTTAGTACAATATAAACACATACAAAAATATGTCATCTGGAAGCCTAGGGATAGTCAATGTTTATATTTGGATATATTTCTCTTTGTTTTATTGTTTTCATTGGGAGAGGGTGTGTAAGTCTATACACATACATACTACATATAACTATGCATATGTATTTATAACATTACTAAAAGTTTAATGTACATAACAGATATAATTTCATAACCTGCTTTTTCTCACTTTGTATTATATTGCGATTATTTTCTCAATTTAGCAAATATTCTTCGAAAACATTTTAATAGTTGTATATTAGTTCACTGCCTGGCTAATTTACTTCTGATTTTTAGTTAGTTTTATACCTGAGGCTGAAACAAACATTATTATACATAAATCTTTGACTCAATTGTTTTTTAAAAAAAATATATTTTATTGATTTTTTACAGAGAGGAAGGGAGAGGGATAGAGAGTTAGAAACATCAATCAGCTGCCTCCTGCACACTCCCTACTGGGGATGTGCCCGCAACCAAGGTACATGCCCTTGACCGGAATCGAACCTGGGACCCTTGAGTCCGCAGGCTGACGCTCTATCCACTGAGCCAAATCGGCTAGGGTTGTTTGTTTTTGTTGTTGTTGTTTCTTAAAGAAACAGTTTATTTTTTATTTTATTTTTAAATATATTTTTATTTATTTCAGAGAGGAAGGGAGAGGGAGAGAGATTGAAACATCGATGATGAGAGTCATTGATTGGCTGCCTCCTGCATGCCCCCTACTAGGGATTGAGCCTGCAACCGAGACATGTGCCCTTGACCAGAATTGAACCCAGGATCTTTCAGTCCTCAGGCCAACATTCTATCCACAGAGCCAGACTGGTTAGGGCTCAATTGTTTTTCATTTGACTCAATTTTTGAGGTTATTTATGGATTTCTGCAAAAAAAAAATTATGAGATCAAAGGATTCAAAATGTTTGGAGGCTCTTTTAGTAACTACTTTTTGATTGAGCTCGAGACTTAAAAAGGAATGGTAATTTCCCACCAGCATTCTGTTCCCTTTTATATAACAAACTTGAGTTTGGTTATCTTAAAACATCTTGATTCTTTTATGCATGACGCAGTAACTTTTCTTCGGCAAAGTTTCCCGGAACTGACTTAAATTCATCAAATGCTTCTGTGTTTTGTTTTCAGATGGGTGATCTACAATGACCACAGAGTGTGTGCCTCAGAAAGGCCCCCTAAAGACCTGGGCTACATGTACTTTTACCGCAGGATACCAAGCTAAACCTCAGATGTACAAATCGGCGAGAAGCCATACGCCTTTTTAATTTGCCAAAAAAAAAAAAAAAAAAAAGTTGGGACAGCCAGACATGAAGGAATACATGGGGGTATTTATAGTTTATTTAAAGAACATCATTTGACGCCTTCTGAAATAGAACTGGGAAGACATTTCTATTAGCAATGATACACTACTGTAGATAGTTTTTCTTTTTATAAATGTTCGAGGAGAGAATGATTAAAAAGAGAAAAGTGTTCCTATTGCTGGTAGGGAATCTGCCACTGGCACGTGCCACCGGGAATGTGCCACCTATCCTCAGTTTTGCTTCGGGGGTCAGTGGTCTGGCCCCACCCACAATAAATGAAAAGCCCACTTTTGTTTCATAGTGAAAATCAGTAACTGGGCTGGGCTTTATTTGTGACATACTTTTTTCATTCAGTACAATGATTTCCGACCTATCTGTGTATACTAAATGAGAGTATCTGCAATGAAATGTTTTTAATTTAATCCCATCACAATTCAGAACACAACTGTGCGAATGTGTGTGAGACTGAGATTGAGAATGTCAACAAGGAAACCTGTGGCGGGTTGGTTTGGAAAGGTTAAAACAGTTGGCGTTAAGCATAGCTGGGAAAAGCAAGGACATCTTTTAAAGAAACCATAACTCAGGAACAGTTGAAAAAATTAGTTCCCTGCTTACATTTTCAGGTATAAACTGGATGGAGTTGTCCCTTTAAGCGCTGTCAAGAATTCACTTGGGTGTGCGACATTTGGTGGTGTGACGCCAGATGCCAGATGCCCAGAGCAGCACAATATTATTCTTTGCCAAAGGTAGATGGATTCTGTGTGTCAGCAGCCCTTCCCTCTAAGGTTTAGTGTGTATTTTTAGCTGATCGCTTCTTACCATCACACATGACAAGTCCTTGGAATCGTGCTAAGTGCCCCGAATTAGTCTGTGGTTTTTCTCCTCCCTGAGCTCTTTGCTTGCCTCCATTTCTACATTTTCTGGGGCCAGAGTCTCACCTCTGCCCTTTCTTGGCTAATCACCTCCTGACTTGCCTTCACTGCTTATCTACTGCCACCCACAATGCGATCTTGGGCACGTCCAGGGGTTCAGATGCAAAGAAACCTGGCATGACGTTACGAGAGACCATCGTTTCCATGTGGTACTTCAGCACGTTACTGGCAGCGTGGGATTAGAATTTCAGGTGGGATGAAAAAGTGGAAGGCTAGGGCCCTAGAGTTCTTCTACTGCTCTGCACCAAGTTCTAGTCTCTGGAGTTTCTATTTCAGATGATTCAGTCAAATGAAAAAGGATTTGTTGCTGTCCGCTTGACACGCCTTTGATTGGTAGAAAGGATCTTTTTAGAAACTGGAGGAAGATAAAATAGAACCAGTTGGGTGAAATACAGCACAGAAGTGGATTATGACCCAGGGAGCCATGAGTTATCAGGATTTGGTTATGATGGGGCCTGTCGCACAGAGATCTGTGAGCACAGAGCCCCAGGGCAGGTCCCGGAGCCCTGGGGGCTGCCTCTAGCTGGACACGTCCCTCCTCCTCCCTGTGCCTCACTCTCTTTGTCTGTACAACGGTAGGATGACATCTGCTCTCTTTTTCCAACTTTGCTTCGAAGACATGGTGAGATTGGATACCTTGAATCTTTAAAGAGCAGCAGGTGGTGTGCCATGGGGGGTGGTCCTAGTGGAGTATGTTCCCTCCTCTCTCATTTGATGTTTTCTTCAGTTTGGGAACGAATGAGATTGGCATAAGGAGGGAGCTCATGGTGCAGTCATTCTCTACGAAACTCTGCCCGCTGGGGTCATATTTAATGCTGACTGGGACTCTGTTACATGAGTCCTTGACTCCCGTACAAATCCCCACGCTCAGCAACCTCACAGAGTCTGGTCTCCTTAGGGCTGAGTGAGTATCCTGGAATAATGCCGCCAGACACATCAAAAATGACCAGTTTTCATGCTATTACAAAGCAAAGGCCTTTTTTAGGGGTGGGGGCGTGATTGAGGATTTGGATTGAAATGTGGACAAAGATAGCATGTGTATTTTGCACAAAGTAAAAATTTTATAATAAAACCTTGTAAAATGGATGGTATAAAATAAGTATAGAAAATTATAAGCGATACAATATTTAATTTAATTAAGTAGAAAAATTAATTTAGCCCTTTTTGATGCCTAAACATACTGTAAAAAAAAAAGTAATATGGCTGCCTTTTTTTTTCTGCCTCAAAAAACAAAGGGCTATTTCTACAAGGCAAAGTTTTGTATATGTGCTATTCTTCATTTCAGATGGAAAATTGGGGAAAAACTGGAGCAAATAATGAGTTTCTTTCTGCTTAAAAAATGTATTTATATGTATTCCTTAATATATATAAGGCAGGTTTCCCTGGAATAAAAGTCTGGAACATACTGCTTAATTTTACACATGTATGTAGATGAAATTATTTGTAACTGAAAACTGGAATCAATAATGGGTTTTGTCAATTGATTATCAGCCTGTTAGGAGTCCTCTGTGTGAGGCGTGGTGGTATAATTGTGAATTTCTTACTGTGTGTGGGTGCACGTGTGAGAGAGCCTTTTTTCCTGTAAATATCTTTTGATATCCATTTGTGTAAAATCCCAATGAATGTGTCTTTGGAAAATATAATGTATCAAAGTTTTTATTTTGTCAGTTGATCTAAATGTCCATATAACTAATTAGAAATCTGGTTTGGTTCAAATTGGGGTATTTTTTTTTAAGGGAAAAATAGTATACGGAAAGGACTATTGGAAGAATCACATTTGAATGCTGTTTTGCATCAGCATTGGTTCAATATTTTGACTTAGCTGTTTCCTCCCACCTACAAGAGAATGTGCCTGACCTTCCCCTGGGCTTGCTTTGGGCTGCGGGAGGTCTAGTGTGAGTAGTGGGAGCCTGGGACTCCCAACACCATTTATTCCCCTGAGACCTCAAGTGGATGGAGCCGCAGCTGCAGCTTGTGGTGAGGTCTCCTGGGTTTGCATCCTGACTCCGCCTCTCAGTGTGATGGGGCCAAGTCACTACCTCCCAGGGCCTTTTTCTCTAAAATGAGTGGGTTAGACCAGATAAGCTCAGAAGTCCTTCCCTGTCCTAACAGTCGGTTCTATTTTTATTTTCCTCTTGGTACTACTGAGATCAGACTGTAAAATATGATGATCACATAGGTTAGATGCTATGTTTTTGATTTGTTACAGCAAACCCACCCCAGCTTAGAACCGATCTCATTTTTAGTGTTTCTACCCTGGCTTCTGTTCCACTTTCTTTGGTAAGTTTCCCATTTTCCCACCGTTCGTGAAACTCTCCACTTTCCAGTCCATGAGGTACGTTGTTACCATCTCTTTCAAAAAGGAAAAAAATCATTTAGAATACTTCCTGCTCTGAAAAACCTCAGAACTACCTTCAGCTAAATCTGTCACATTTATACAATATTTCCTTTTTAAAAAAATATTTTTATTGACTTCAGAGAGGAAGGGAGAGAGAGAAAGAGAAAGAGAGAGAGAAACATCAGAGATGAGAGAGAATCATTGATCAGCTGACTCCTGCACGCCCCACACTGGGGATCCAGCCTAGGCATGTGCCCTGACCAGGAATCGAACCCAGACCTCCTGGTTCATAGGTTGATGCTCAATCAGTGAGCCATGCCGGCCGGGCTATCCAGTATTTTCTTGTTCTAATTCAGTTCTAGCTGTGATCCCCAAATAAGTGCTAAGAAAGTTGTCTACCACAGAAAGATGCATTTTTCATCTCGTAGGACCACCGTTGCTAAGTCATATTATCTGTGGGGAGATGACAGGTGACAGGGGCAGGACCAGGGGATAGGATTAGGTAAAGTGGGATTCTGTCCTTTACCTTAGGGCAGAAATCCTAGGTTACAAAACAAGGGCCTGTCTGAGATGGTCTAAGCTGGTGATATGATTACCACACTGTGGCTCAGAGATTCCCTACTCAGTACGTCATCCTGAGAGTTTGTATTAATATTCTGTAGACCTGCGCTGTTCCGTCCAGTAGTCAGTAGTCATATGTGGCCTCTTGAGAGTTGGCTTGTCCGAACTGAGCCTGTGCTATGCATATAACATGCACACCAGATTTTGAAGCCTTGCTACCAAAAAAAAAAAAAAAAAAGGGAATGTAAAATATTTTATCAATACTTTATAGTGATTACATGCTGAAATGACAATATTTTAGATACGTTAAATAAGATATGAAAATTTAACTTGTTCCTTTTTATCTTTTTTAATGTGGCTACCCAAAAATTTAAAATTAGACACGTGACTCTCATTCTTCTATTGGGCAGTGCTAATCTAGACGTAGATGGTGCGGGGTAGGCAGCGCCCTGCCTTAGGTATGGAAGGTAATTCTCCGAAACATCTAGACAGAAGCAACATGAGCATTTTTGCTGGAGTCAGGAGCACCGTGAGGCACAGAATGCCTTCCAGAAAGCAGAAGATTTCTCTGTGTAAAAAAGCCAATATGTATAAGACCCCAATGAAAAGACAAAAGCAAATGAGCCCCAAACCCTGTTCCTTCGCTTTGCCTAGGAGCCTCTAACTTTGGGTTTATTTTTCAAACCACTGCCAGGTGCCAAGGATGTTAGCCACAGGAGGGTGCTGGGCGTGTTCGTTTCTCTTTAGGCAACATTCTCTTGTGGTGTCCCCTCCCCAGGTATTGTTCAGTCTGCTCAGAGCTGGGCGTGGAGATACTGTGTAGATCTTGCCGCCCCAGACTCACCGCTCCTCTCGGCCTCGGCAGAGCAGGTTTCGATGTTGGCTCTCGAAAGCATTTGTATTTATTTTATTTTGCACTAGTCACAGTTGGTGTTTAAACTATCTCAGATGTTTGGGGAGAGTATTTGCCTGTGATGGAAAGAGAGATGGATGATTTGTTGCTTCACTTGTTTTAAAATTAAAAGCTATTCTCACAATCTGAGGTCCCTTGATGACTCTTTTTTCTTTCGTTCTTTTGCAAAATGCCAGGTAAACGAATGCTCCTCTTTGTAGGTTCTCACCCATCAGTGGAACAGGCAACTTGAGACAGTGACTAATTTTATTTCCTTTTAGGGTTTCTTCGTGTGGGCACCCAGGCAGCCTGGTCCCCATCCACATTGGAACATCTGTTAAGGAGGGAGCCAAGGCAGGGAGGAGTCTGGTGTCCTTTAGACTTTCTCTACTGATATGTCCAGTTGAATATTGGGGTCAATCGAGACCTTTCTGTGGCTCCCTGACTCTCAATTTGCTGATGGCTTCCTTAACGCAGCAGAATCTACACTAGCTGCATCAATAGATTCCAGCATTTCTATGACCCCACCTTTCTAGGTTGTATAAGTTTCCCATGGCTGCTCTAACAAATGACCACAAAATTAGTGGTTGGGGGATGGAGGAAAAGGTGATCAGGAGTCCAGTTTGGGACCCGTTGAGTTTGAAATGCCTACCAGACCTCTATTTGATGTTGAGTAGGAAGCTGAATATACAACCCTGGATTTTGAGAGAAGTTTCCTCTGCCTGGCATGTTCTTTCCCCAGAAATAAAAATGTTTTGAATTATGCAAGGGCTTGGGAGAGGAGCCACATTCACCACTAAGTAGATGGACTTTTTATCTTATATAGAAGAGCAGTGAAGCAGGAAAGAGAGACACCCAGCTTGATTTTTACAGAGGAGAAAAATTTGGAATTCCACCAAGTGCGGCCTCAGTTCAATAGAGGGGGTAGTGAAGAGGGAGAAGGGGTGCTTCGGTCTCTTGGTGTAGTCAGTCTTCATCTGAGCCAGCTGTTCCTTCCATCCCAACCTCACCACTCAAGGACTTTAGTTAGTAAACGTTTCAGAAACACAGAAACTTCCGTCTCAGTGGCATCTCTCCTCTGCTCGGGGGCGAATTTAAGAAGATCTCCTATGATTTCCCACCTTTAGGGCATCTCCTGAGATCTCACCAGCTCACAGCCTTAACCACCCTGGATTCCTTTCTCCCTGAGCACATACCAAGCTCATTCCTGCCTTGGCATTTTGCACTAGCTGTTGGCTCTGCCAGGAACGCTTGTCCCCAACTCCACTCAGCAGGCTTCTTGCCATTCAAATCTCAGCCCAAATGTCAGCCAAGAGGAACATTTCCTGACCACCTATAGATAATACCTTATATGTCTCATTCTTCTAGCACTTCGTAGAACATAATATTGTTGTTATTTTTTATTAAAGTACTAGAGGCTCAGCACGCGAAATCACACGAGACCCCCAGACCCGCCACGCCACAAGACCCAGACTGGTCGTTTGGTCGTTACGGTGTTATGGCCACTGGCCTTTTATTTTTTATTATTTTTTTAAAAATATATTTTATTGATTTTTTACAGAGAGGAAGGGAGAGAGATAGAGAGCCAGAAACATCGATGAGAGAGAAACACCAATCAGCTGCCTCCTGCACACCTCCCACTGGGGATGTGCCCGCAACCCAGGCACATGCCCTTGACCGGAATCGAACCTGGGACCCTTCAGTCCGCAGGCCGATGCTCTATCCACTGAGCCAAACCGGTTTTGGCCACTGGCCTTTTATAATATAGATTTGTTGATCCCTCACAGAAATCTGAATTCTTCAAGTGCAAGTTTGATTTAATTTACTTAACCACTGTCCTGCACTAGAACAGTACCTGTACATAGTAGGTGCTCAAATATGTATTGACCAAAAAGAAAAAAAAAGACCCTAAAACAAATATATTTTAATGCTTTTATTCTAAAAAAAAATCACAAAATCCAAGTTTAGGTTAAATAATATTTTAGTCTTAAAAAATTAACAAGGAAGATTTTAAAGTTTTTGTTTCATATCTAAAAATGCATTCCTGATTTCCAGTTAACTCATGCAAAATCATATGTAGTGATGTTCCACAAAAGGACCTTTTAACCAGTAGTAAAAATGGATTCTATTTGAATTGAAGCAATTCTGATCCCCAAATCTCATTTTGAAAGATTTCTGAAAAGATCTTGAAGCCATAAGTTTATTTGAAAACATAATTTAAAATTACCCAAATATAAATACAATTTAATAATGTGAAAAAGGGAAGGCATGCTTCCAATAATGGTACAAAAATACTACCTGAATCTTGGTACTTTATAAATTATAAGCCAACTGAGTAAATTAAATACATCAATATAATAGGTTATTTTTGTGGTAGTAATTTTATTTCAAAGAGCAACACAGGGAATTATTAAGAAGAAGCCTTAATACCAACAGAGTTGTCCTATGACACATAATATTTCATTAAATACACAGACATATTATCATGTAGTGTGCCGATAACTTTTACACCCCCCATTGCCATTAATTTACTATAGGTCACTTAATTTGGGTTGGTGTTAACTTAGAAACAATGTAAACATTTAAAGTTAAATTTCTCTGTTATCTATTTTAGCTTAAAAATGAAATCCCAAGATTTTAAACATTATTGAGCATAATAAATAAGGAAGCATCACAGAAGAATTCCTCTCAAAACAGTATTTTTAGATTAGACTAGATATACAGTACCCATAGATATACAAAATATATAGAAATGTCTTTTCTAAATAGTTAATAAATGCTTGTTACAGTTTGTAAAAAGTTTACTAAATTAATCATTTTTTTTCAACCCATGTAAACAAATTTGGATAATGAAAATAGAAGAGGGTCTGGGTGAGATGACAGGGAAAATGGAAAGGAAGTTGGTAAAAACTCAGGTTTGCTCTATTTCCTTTACACACTGGTAACATTTTTGGTCACAAACACATTCCTCACAGGGTGCAATTCCTTTACGGTATCTATGCGAACATTTTCCTTAGCTCAGTGAAAGTGACAAATGACCTCGTTGAGTGTCTATCCCTTATTCCTTTTTGTGTCGCACCATTTCACTCAAATAAAAAGAGCACATTTTATTGTTGAGCAAATTGTCCTTTTTTCCATCTTAATATTATTTTGAGTGCAGGTTTCTAAGGGAAGTGTCCTACCCTGTACCATTGCAAGTTCGTTTTCTCTTGTAGAGAAGGTCGTGAGAAAACAGTTCTGAGATGGGGTGCTTGTTTCTAGAGGGTGTTTTTTTTTTTCTTCTTCTTTTTTCTTTTTTGGTATTTCTGTAAAGGTTGCAAGTAGCGAAAACTTTAGTCAAGGCAAAATACCACATGTGAGTTTGTTAAACCTCACACTTTAATTTTCGTTTTTTCTCCTCTTAACTCTTCAATGTCTCCACACAAAGGTCTTTGCTGTGTGTTTGGGAAATACTGTCTTTGAGTTCATATGTGTGTGTGTGTATGGGGAGTTAAGGGTGGATGAAATGGTGACAAAGCTGTTCTAACAGAACCCCTACTGCCTCACTGAGCTCTGCTCCCTCCACTTCTGGTCTCCTTGTCCTGATTTCTTCATAAAGCAGGGATCACAGACAAAGGCCATGAGAAGACTTCAGAGCTGGTCTGAGTGACCGTGAAACCACCTCATCATCCCCGAATTTCAATGTTTTTAGACATATTGACCAAGTCCAGCTTCTTAAGGGACATGGATTCAAGTAGCTCAACCTACCATACAAACAGGAATGCGTTGAGGACATGGTGTGGCATCTACACACTTGCTACATGACATTTGAGGCTATTAAGGCCCCATGTTCACTTTGCCTTATAATGGTTTTCATGTACCCGGCATTACCCTAATCTCTACCTTATTTAGAATCTCAGTTTTTCTAAGTTTATTCCTAAACTTTTGGAAAATGTTTGAAATGCACTATTCAGCATTTAGAACCCAGAACTGAGCTGAAGCAATCAACACGATTTTGTTCAGTAGCCTTCGGATAGGTGGATTTTGCTTAAGTTTTAGATCTGCGTGCCTCTGCTGGTCAGAGGAGTAGTTTGGCACTGGCTGCAACCCTGCATAAACCAGACACGTGGATATCTGTCAAGTTCAGTGTAATGGCATGAAAACAATCTCAAGGATAGGATATTAAAAACAAATAGAAAAACTGTAACACAAAGTTCATGAAAATGCTTCCTTGTTCAGAAGCAAGGAAAAATAAGCTAACCCATGCAGCGTAACCATGCCCTGGTAAGTTCACATTCAGTAGTGCTTGTTATCTTGCATGCTTTGGTTAATATTTGAGTAGGCAGATTTGCGAGGGTTAATGCATGCGTTACTTCTGCACCTGAGGTTATATGCTTCACTTTTTAAAAATTGCCTTTTTACAAACCTTATGCCAGAGTTAATCTCCGACACTCTTAAAAAAAATATATATGTATCTACTTAGTTCAAAACAGTTTATAGTTCAACCAGTTCTGTAAATACTGAGAAGGTAAACTGGGCAGTAAAATCCAGAGAGGGAATGCATTTGGAATTATTTAGAAAGGTTAAACTTAGGTGTGTGCATGTGTAGTCATTTCTAAAATAAGAGGCCTCGAAAAGATGGCACACAAAGGAAGCCTTCAGAATACCCTGTTTCGAAAAAGCATTTCAAGGTGTAAAACAACAGCAACAACCATGTGAAAATACAGCCCGGTTCTGTGGAACTGATTCAGGGGCAAGTGAAGAAGGAGCACAAAGGGAGCTTGCTTTTATATTGCCAAGGAGCTCACAAAGTTTATGGTAAGTGGTTTGGGAGCTCTTGGTACAAGTGGGGCTAGTACAATTGTGTTTAAGTCTTGCTTGTATAGCAACACTATACTAGAAAGATCGATCTAGTACAATTATCTGGACATGGACCCAAGATTCAACTCAGTAGCTCTTGATTATTATGCTAAGTGAAATAAGCCAGTCAGAGAAAGACAAATACCATATGATCTCATTATATGTGGAATCTAATAAACAAAATAAACTGGCGAACAAAATAGAAATAGAGGCATGGATACATGGAACAGACTGATGGCTGTCAGAGGGGTTGGGGGAGGGGGACTGGATGAAAGAAGGTGAAGGGATTAGCCCTGTAGACATAGCCAACAGTGTGGTGATGGGCAGAAGAAATGGGGGCGGGGGGCAGGGGCTCGGCAGAGGTGGGCAAGGGGGGGAAAGTGGGAACATCTGTAATAGTGTTAACAATAAAAATAAAGATAAAAAAAAAAGAATGAAGAAATGGCATAAAACTGTGGAAATGGGTGTGTCCTGGACTTTCCAACCCCGTTAAGTATCACTAATTTGCTGTTTTAGTTAAAACGCAGGTTGGCTGAGGAAGCACAGCTCACAGTTCTCTATGAAAGTTTCTTGGTGAACAAGATCTGCCTTTCTTTCAAGGAGTCGTGGGGAGTGATTGTGGGAGAAAGCAAAGGGAATGGTGACTCAATATGATTAATCCAGTAAGTGGACACTTTACTCCTTCCCCTCCCCTCTCCTATCCCTCCAACTCCTCCTCACATTGAGGTCTACAGCACAGAGAAATAGCCCGCTAGACATAGTTATAACCTATTTTGAAATTCAGCAATGATCACTGGTCTTCTCTGCATTTTCATCTAATCTCCTGGAGAAATTGGTCCTTGAAAGGCCACTATGCATTTGAGTGGCCACTCTTGTAAAACTGTACCATCCTCTGAGAGATCTTGGGCTACTTCTCAGTAATGCAAGAAAGAAGATAATCAAGGCCTTCCCAGAGCGCTTCCAAGGGAACCAAGGCCATCCTTTCAAATGGAAAGAGTAATATAAATGACAACTTTACACCATGACGATAAGATACCAAAAACAATTTTGCTTTTTAAAAAAATGCGTATAAACTTAAGAAAAAGATGTATACAATAAAGACTGTTCTAAGATCTTGCTACTTACTTTTTGGCATTGCTCTGATTGCTCTAAACTTTCACTTGCATTTTAGTAACTGTTTTAACTTAATTTTATTAAAAATATTATGAAAAAATGTCTTGGGCAATAGTTCTGCACCTCCTGACAGGTAATAGCTTAGGAAAATCTTGGTTCTGCTGGACACTAGATATATTGGGGAAAGTCCTACCAAATGCTCTGCAAATTACCAAATTGTGAAGGGAATGGAAAATTGTTCACTCTCGCTGAAAACAATTCCTTGGAGTTTGAAGTTGCTTTATATTCAAATAGCAACATAAAACGGGGGCTCCAAATTTGCCAGTACTTAGCAACAATCAAGTTAAATAAAAGCAGTGCACATTTATCCAACTGTCAGGCTTTAAATTGTTACTGATCTCATGTACGTAGTGGCAGCAAAGCTAATAAAACAATCTGTTATTATTGCAAATTTAGTTACTATTGAAAGTATAGAATGTTGTCATAAACAGAACATTTGTGAAAGTGGCTTTGAATCCTTTGTTTAGAGGTTCCTAATGGACTATAATGGATGCAAGTCAGCTGGCCAGCGTGGATGCACAGGGATACGGAGGAGGAAGGAACGTGCGGAGAAGGGATGCTATTCCGTCAGGGATACTCAACCAGGTAGCTACATTGGTTGGAGGCTGGCCCCATGAGTCCTTCTCAGGCCAAATTTCTAGGATTCTGAAATTCTGGAGAATACCATTCTTGAAAATCTTGTTGAGCTTTTCTTTGCCTCTGAGCCTGCAGGAAAGTAGGTCAAGATTGGTTGTCACCGCTGCCCAATGGTGAATGCCTCAATGCCTTGCCTCCTGCTGGTCCTGCTGGAGGCGTCACCTCACCCGAGTGAGCTTTGACAGTGAACAGCAAAGCTGCCACCACAGTGCCCTCAACTTTTTGTCTTTATAAACTAGAATAGGTTATAATGTATGTAAGCCTCAAGGATTTGTGGTTTCATGTTTACCTGAGGCCCTGTCCTATGTCAGGGACTTTGAATGTAACAGAGGAAACCATTTCTACCTGCACCCAGAGTTCAGTATGTGTGCAGTAGAAGCTAACTCCCCAGTCAATTGAACTATCTTGATCCAAATGCTGTTTTTTCCTGGTTAACTATAATCATGAGTAAAACCAGCTATTAGTAACCAAAGGGCATGAAGAAAAGCTGGGATCAGATTGCTTTGGGAAGATTCTGGAGGAAGCAAACTGAAGAAGAATGGGACAACTTATTAGGACTTATTAATGGGACAAGTTACCGGAACTGGGCATTGGTGAAATTATGTTTTGGTTAGCATTTTGCAAACAATTTTTCTAATCCTTTCAAAAGTGATGTCTTTCTCAATAATTGCTGAGCGCCCAACAAACACAAAACACTCTGAAGAACTGAGTGGGATGGAACCAATGGAATAAAAGACCATTGCCAACGGGAAGTCCTAGTACTTGATAAATGTTCAAGAGGAGAGCCTAGGGCAGCCGTGGGCAAACTACGGCCCGCGGGCCGGATCGGCCCGTTTGAAATGAATAAAACTAAAAAAAAAAAAGACCGTACCCTTTTATGTAATGATGTTTACTTTGAATTTATATTAGTTCACACAAACACTCCATCCATGCTTTTGTTCCGGCCCTCCGGTCCAGTTTAAGAACCCACTGTGGCCCTCGAGTCAAAAAGTTTGCCCACCCCTGGCCTAGGGGCTTGCATCTTTCATGTGAAACCTCTGATGTTCAGGGAGATTCAGCTCGAAAGTACTGATCTCTGTCACTTGGAATGCAAAAGGGTGAGCAATGAGATTATTATGGAACTCAGAAAAACACAATTTTTAGAAAAAATGTATTTATCACTCTTAAGAAATGCCATTTAAAATATTAACAATTGAAAAGGAATATCAGTGTGCAGGGCAGTTAGTAAGCAAGTAAAATATGACATTTAAGTAAGTTAATGTTAACTCATTAGAAATGACGACATCATCAAACTTCCGTCCTGCAGAGAATGCATGAAGAAACAGTGTCTTACCTCTTGCTTAAGGTCAAACAGTCTCAGACAGCACGTGAATAAGATCCGTGTTTGCATATTTACACCCTATGTCACATCTGCTTTGAGGAAAACACTCCTTCAAAACCCTACACTGTGAAAAACTATTTTCAGGAATTTTTATTTGGTCCATTGAGCTAACAAGGCTGAGTTCCCAAATCTTTTACCCCCGCCCCCCTTCCCCACGTTAAAAATTGGAGCAACAAAACAAAACTCCAGCAAGGCATAAATGAGATATTAAAGTGCATATATACAGTCCCAGAAAAGTTTTGATTGGGAACAGCAAAAATTTCTAGTGCAAAAACTGCTTTTGCCAGCAAAGCTCCTTCTCTGGAATCAAAAAGCTACAGTAAAAGTTAAAATTGGAACGGGTTTAAGCAATGCCTCTTTTTAGTCGAGTTAATATTTGTGCATGCACCTCGGCCCAAACTATGTTCAATCTCCTAAAAGGGGGAATTTTAGGGGACAGTTCAGAAATAGTCAGAATTCCCTGATCTGAGGCAGTGCTTTCTCCAGGTGTCGCACGAGCAAGTTCCTTAGATGTGTCATCAGCCGCAAGTGGGGACGAAAACCCAAAGAAGATGTTTTGCGACAGGCTTGCAGCTTGTGGAAAGAGTATTCACATAGTTACTTCATCTTGGTTAGTCTTGAGCCTCTCGCTTCTTCTTTCGAGCCCGACCTTGACTCTATATAACATTTTGTGCTTTGGGATCTGAACAGAGACTGGGCATTGTCTGTAGGAATTCCCTCAGGCTCTATCACCATGGCCTTTTGAACATCCGGTGTCACCATTTTGGAATTCATAATAAAATAGGTTTGCATTTCTGAGTACACATATGGACAGGGATTATTATTTTTTCTTTTCTTTCAAGGATCCAAATTGAAAGCTCTTAGGAGGACATCCAGGTCACCGAGATTGGCCGCCTGGAAGAGTTCTGGTTGGTCCATCAGAGACAGTGCGATTCTGAGGGCAGCCCAGATGTTCCCGGAGATGGCAGGATGAGGAACTTGCTGTTGATTCCGGCTTTTCCTCTGCAGACTGAGGGCAGTGAGAAAATTGCTGACCGCTTCTCTAAGAGGGTAGAAAAACAGACATTTACAAATGCAACGCATTTCAGAGTTAGCAAATAAGACAACAAAAAATGGATGAGGTTATTTTAGTCTAAAATCTTAAATCACCTTTCTATGGTGTGTGGGCTCATCAGGTGAACAACTTTCTGATTCTGTCATTACTCTTTTGTGAAAAATCATCGTTTAATGTAGTGAGATAAGAAAAAAAAAGCAAAGCAATTTTTATTTAGGAAAATCATGTGGGAGAAGAAGAATAATGGCATTGCTAACTCTTCAATGCATCCACTTTTCTCTACTCCAAGAATGACTTGAAGACGTAGGCCATTCACAGATGTGGTTTATATAACTAGGGTTGAAGAGGCAACATTTGGTCCCACTCAGAAACAAAGTGTCTAACTTTTCCTATTAGTGGTAGAAATATGGGGAGGAGCAGGGGTTGAGTTCAGTTTCTTATCAGAGAATCTGGGCTTGTATCCCATTATGTAACCGTAGGCAAATTTTTTATCTTCTATAAGCCTCCATTCCCCTGACTATATAATAGGGAGACTAGACGTCATTTTAAAACCTTGTGAGGTGCAGTCAAATCATTTTATGTGAAAACTCTTATCATTAACTTAAATCGTTCTCAAAGTGTTGTTGGAGGAACCCTGAGGATCAATGAGGCCAAAATAATTTTTAAAGTAATCCTGAGATGTTATTTTACCTTTTACTCTTAGACTCTCATGAGTGTACACTGGAATTTTCTAGGGACCTCATGATTTACAACATCCCACAGATTGAATGAGGAAGCAGAAATGAGTCTTCTTTTAAGCTAAATATTAATAGATTCACAAAAATGATAAAAGAATGCCACTCTTAGCTAAACATTTATTTTTGTTTTGTTTTTAGGGGTAAAATATGTAATTTATATTAACATCTAATTAGTTTATTATATTTAAATGAATCTTTCAAAATTTTCTGTTTAATTTCTAATATGGTAAAAATTCATAGATAAAACCCACATAAGAAAAGCCCTGTGAGGTTCTCAGTAGCTGTTAAAAATGTAAAAGATGTCTGGCTTGTGTGGCTCAGTTTGTTGAGTGTCATCTCATGCATCAAGAGGTCGCCAGTTCAATTCCTGGCCAGGGAACATGCCCAGGTTGTGGGCTTAATCCCCAGTAGGAGGCATGCAGGAGACAGAGTTTATTCTCATACTAGTGGCCCAGTGCCCGGATTTGTGCACATTGAAAGTAAATTAATTAGAAGAAATATTTTAATATCACTATTTGCCCTTTCTCTATAATAGAAGTGTCAACCAAATTCATGATTGACAATGACAGATCGAAACACATTCGTGCAATTGGCGCCAGAGAGAGCTTTATAAGTATCGTGTATTTGCGAGTCAACTTAGCCTTTTGTATATATAGAATAAACTTGCTTAATTAGACCTGCTTTCTGATTTAGCTAAACTTTTTCCAGCCCAGTGAAGCACCCCAACTTCTGTTTCAGGTAATCGTCAGCAACACAGCAGTAAATATCAACATGAAGCAGATTATTACTGTAGATCATGCAGGGAGAAAAAAGGGTAAAATATTTAACTGAAGCAGTATTTGACTATATTCTGCACAGTGACAAAACCTGAAGTCATTTTCAAGGTCCACCATTTCTTACTTCTTTTCAGCTGGGTCAAGTTTCTAAACTTTCTAAATCTCTGTTTTCTGGCTAATGAAAAGAAAATAGGATTCCACCGAGTCTCCTATCTACCTACTCCAGGACTTCTGTGAGGATCAAATGAGATGAGACATGGGAAAATGCTTCACAGACATTTGGTTAAAGTGTAAAATGTTTTCACCTGGCTATAAAGCAAGTCGTGTTCCTGGTCTGAAGAAACTCCAAGGAGGCTAGTTGCTAGGGAGAGGAAGCCAGGCATTGCTACATGACGTCATTACCTGGTGCCCACAGCGACCGTTTCCGGCCTGGGCTGGGCTGTGGGCCACATTTTATGCCATGAGGTCTTGGCAGCGTTGGCTGCGATTTGGTGGGCTGTCGCTCCGGAGTGGTGGTGGGGCCTGTGTCCCACTTAGGGTAAGCTGAGTGTTGATTTGTCAGCACCAGGTCTGCGGTGCCATTTCTTTGTAAATGGCCAGTGTGTGTCATGGCAGCTCCTGCATTGAGTGTCTGCCTCCTGGTGGTCAGTGCGCATCATAGTGACTGGTTGGATGGTTGGAGGGACATGTAGCACATTAGCTTTTTATATATATAGATTATGATTTATTAATTATTGTATTATTTTCCACACTAACAACTATAAACCCACTTTTGCCCACCTGGTATTATTATCAAAGGGGATGAGATTTATTTTTTCATTAAAAAGGGGTCCTCACTTTTGAAATGGTAAGATTCCCTGGTCTAAGCTCTACTCTGGTGTTCTGACTGATGAAAAGGTAGCATTTTCAGCTGTATCCTCATTTCAGGCCAACAACTTCCTCTCCTTACTTCAACTGTACTAGGGTAGGGCGTGCCTTTGACTTCTTATAGAAAGTGTGAGATGACAAACAGTGAGTGTTATAACATTTACACACACACACCTGCAGTTCTAAAGGGGCACGTCCCAGACTTTGTACCAGCTCCTGGCTCTCCTCTGAGCCACATCTCTATTGAGGGTTGTTATTTCCTACACATATGCTTACACCCCCAAGTCAAACTTACTTTCAGAATTCATTTTGTGTCTCACTTGATGATCTTTTTATTTTTTCAGGAAAAAAATGCAATATGTTTATCACTTCACAAGCTTTCCCATATCCAGCATGACAATGTAAGACGTACAAAACTTAGCCGAGAAGTTCCAAAGTTGCTATTTGATCCAGATGGACAGACTTAGCCAATAAGAATATAGGATGCACAGTTAAATTTGAGTTTCAGATAAAAACAATGAATAAGTTTCAGTATAAGTATGTCCCATGCAATATTTGGGAAATATTTATACTCAAATTATATTTACTATTTATGTGAAATTCCTACTTAACCACGCATTCTGTATTTTATCCAGCAACTTTAACATTGACTTGCTTTTGGCCTGCTTGAGGATTAAAAGTCCACACCTCACCAGGGTTGCCCATTTCTACTTGTCATGGACCTTCGGGGATTCCTGCAAATACTTGCCCTACTGAGGCTTACATCTGTGATTGCCAAGAAAGTGTTCTATTGGCCCCTCAAGTATGTTTTCTATACTAAGAAGTTGCAATAACAAAAAATAAGAAAGCTCATCCATCCTGGCCGGTGTGGCTAGGTGGTTGAGCGTTGACCTATGAACCAGGAGGTCACACGGTTCAATTCTCGGTTAGGGCACATGCCTGGTTTCGGGCTCGATGCCCAGTAAGGGTTGTGCAGCCGATCAATGATTCTCTCTCACATTGATGCTTCTCTCTCTTCTTCTCCCTTTCTCTTTGAAATCCATAAAAGTATATTTTAAAAAACAAAAAAAGGAAAAAACTCATCCAGGAGCCTTACAAAAGCCTCATTTAATTGAATTCAATGTACCTACATGCACTTATGTATTCATTTACATCTCTCCTTGTTCCAAAAAAGGACCTAAGTTGTCTCATAAAATATACCTAGAAAATAAGTGAGTAAAATGTGTAAAGATAAAATCAGGTTGGGGACATCAGAGGAAGCCAGGGATGAAGTTAACATACAAAATGGACACTGTGAGGCCTGAGAGGCGGATGTGCAGGGATGACCCTCTGCACAGCGGCTGTCATGAGGACCTCAGCAAGGTCACAATGTCCACAGCATAAAACAAACCAGTTGCTCAGGGGTCGTTCAGGTTTCCTGGTTTTGACCTGAGCAATCAGTGACTGATGAATGTTCTTTCTAAGATCCCTTTATTATAAATGTAGCATCTAGTTTCTAAAGCCTCAACATTTGTCAATGGCACAATGTCCTATTGCAGTTCAGAAACAGGAATTCTTCAGATGGCAAAAGGATAATAACAATAATGATACTGTTATAATAACAGTATCTAAATAATAACAACGATACTGCTGATGACAGCAGTAATAGTCATAATACTGACTCCTGCTAGGTATTGAGCATCTGCGCTGTGCAGGGCAATTATACTTAAACTGCACAATAATCCTGCAAGATAGACATTATTACTCCCCCACCCCCTTTTTTTGAAGCAGGTGAAGAAATTGAGGCTCACCGTTATGCGCTCAGAGCCATAAAACCAAAAAACAGCAGAACTGTGACTTGAACCCAAGCTTATCTGATTCTAAAAGCCTGCCTCCTTCTGGGAATGAAAAAGGGTGTGCGTTTTTTGGTGGGGGTGTAAAACTGACATTGAGTTCTCTCTTTTTTTTCCAGTTATGAAAGCAATACCAGTTTACTTAGAAAACAGAAAAAAAAGAAAAAGAAAGAAGAAAAAAATCACCCGAACTTTCATTACACAAAAGATACAAAGGTCGTTTATGGTCCCTGTGGATGGGAAAAGACAGGAGAGGACACCCAAGTGATAATGAGGAATCCTGAGAGAAAGAGAAGAACATTTCAAACTGTAACCCACCATTTACAAGTATTTCCTTAACATCGTTTTATTACTCACTTTATTGGTTTAGAGAACCTGGGTTCTTGGTTGTGCTTTGCCAAAACCTGGCCCTGGACCCTTTTAAAGTCATTTTGCTGTTTTCTCCCCCCTCCCCACCCCTCCCGGTTTTCTTTTTCTTACCAGGAAATTGAAGGTTCGGGTTATTCTCAGAGTTGCCCTTGGGGATGTTAAGAATCCAGATAACTTGTCCCAACCCTGACTGACCGAATAATAATAATAATAATAATAATCACTAGATGGGGCCTGGGAATCTGCATTTCACACGGTGCGGGTAGGATGGCTGCTCTCTAAAGACTGAGAAACACTAAACAAATTGTTGCTGCTTCAACCGGCCTCAGGAACTGAAGCTGGGAAGCTTACCCTTAGGAGGAGGAGGAGGAGGAGGAGGAGGAGGAGGAGGAGGAGGAGGAAGATTACCCCTAAAAGGAGGTATTTGGGTGGCAAACCACCTTTCAGGCTACTCCGCCTCAGCCCCACGCGTGGCTCTTGGTCCCCCGCTTGCCGCCATACTTCACCTGTAGGCGCCCAGGTTGATGCAGCTGATGCCCAGGTTGTATCTGGAGCGGATGAAGCCGGGCTGGATCTCCAGCGCCCGCGTGTAGGCCTCCACGGCTTCCTCGCTGCGGTCTCCGTTCGCCAAGGTCGCCCCCAGACGGTTCCATAACGAATAGTCCTGATGACAAAGGGAGAGGTCTCTCTCTAACCACCAGCCTCCGTGGCCGAGTGTCCTCCTGTCCCTGCAGGAGAAGGCTGATGGCTGAACGTTTCTCCCGCGCTCACGGACGAGGGCCGTGACGTGGTGAATTACTCACAAATCCTTAGGGACTGCTTTGTGAAATGCCTCTCATTCATCAAGGAGAGCTACCATTGGATGCTGTCAGGCAATTCATGTTTCTATTTTAGGTATGTAAGTATTAATAGCCACAGTAGCATGTCATTAGTACTGATCGCTTTCAACCGCGGGGTGCAGGGAAATAAAGTGTAGCAAAACTGCCCAGCCCTGCCCAGCCTGCCCAGTGGTTAGAGCACTGGTCTGCACACTGGAGGGTCTCGAGTTCAATTTCCAGTCAAGGGCATGCACCTGGGTTGCAGGTTCGATCCTGGTCCAGTTGGGGCTCGTGTGGGAGGCAACCAATCCATGTGTCTCTCTCACATTGATGTTTCTCTCTCTCTCTCTCTCTCTCTCTCTCTCCCTCCTTTCTCTTCTCTCTCTAAAAGTCAATGGGGAAAAAAAATCCTCAGGTGAGAATCAAGAGAATGTACGAAGTACATCTGGTGAAAACTTATCTTTAACAGAGAACCATATGGTTTCTTGCTGTGCACTTACCTCTGGCCGAACAGTTAAGGCGGCGTTAAATGCATCTATTGCTCTATTAAATTCTCCGCTCAGGTGGAACAGCACCCCTAGACCTGTCTGCAGGTCTGGGTCGATCGTATCTCCATTTTGGTGGGCAGCTTCCAGATATAATTCCTTCACGCCTTCCAGAACAGAGCTACCAGGGGGGAAAGTAGATTTGTAATCCAAATAGTCTGAACATAAATGATTTACTATTATGTTCACTGTTCTTTACAGACTGAAAAAAAAATCTGGCTTAAAATACCTCAGTGTATGAGAGGACTATTATTAATACTGCAGTTTAACAATTCCTGCTGATTTTCATGACATACTTTGTTGTATAGAGATACGAACAGTGCTAGGAAAGGAGAGTTCCATTGACCCTGTAAGCAGAAAACCCTAGGGCTGGGTGTCCCGAGGCCTCAGTGAGAAAGAATTTAACATCATGGTTTATTGCTGATAGAAACAAAATTGCAGAAGGGCTTCCATTGTCCCCCATACCTAATTCTCAGGCTTTACAAAACTTGGCACAAGGCTACTTATTATAAAATTTATTTTGGGTTAAATATATGTCCAAAGCATTTGGCTTTAGTGTATGGCACTCAGATAAATATCTGTGGGTGCCCACGGTGTAGATCACGTGTCCAGAGGTTGGCCCCACTCTCAGCTCCATCTTTTAAATCAGTGCTGCTCTTCTGGCAGAACGCTGTCCTACACGCCATCTGGAGCGGGTGCTGGGGACCCCAGGCTCGTTCTTTACCGTCATGGTGATTAATTGTGTGGAAGGGTGTAATTTAATGATGTGGATACCTATCCACCGGAGACTTAGACATCCTCCGGGCGAGGCCTGGCGATCCCTTCTTGCTCTTCACAAGGTATTTGTACTTTGGGTTTTGCTTAATCCAATTCTTCAGCGCGTCACAGGCATCCTGCTGATGGCCCGTGTTCGTGTAACTCACGGCCAAAGCCATCAAAGCTTTCAAGTTGTTGGGCTGCAATTCTAAGCACCTGAAGGAATTGGGGGAAAAAGCCAGTTTCAGATTTTTTTTTTTGGAGTTAGAGTCTGAACAGTTCTTTAGAAAATCTGAGGTCTTTATTAATTAAATGGTAAGGTTATGTGAAGCCCCTGGAGAATATCACATTCATTACCTACATGAAAATTAGGACCTACGCTTATTTTTAAGAAAGTTAAAACTCACCCTGATGCATGCCAGTTTTGGTAATTTTAATAAATAATTTAAAAGCTATAGAAAATGTGGCTAATCCCTGCACATAATTTATTAGTAGTTCATCTAATGAGAAGTAGGGGCTATCATTCACGCTGCTCTACTGTCAATGTATGAAATGCACCTTATCCACAAAGCAAACTGGTTTGAATTAAATCTGGACATCCAGAGATGAAAGATGGAACAGCGTTGTGTAAAGGAGAGGGAAATCCCATGTTTCCAGACTATCAGTGTGGGTTTACGGGAGGCCCAGGCTACGATGCTTCCCCTCATGCTATTCCACTGGCCTCTGGCAAAGGCTTTTTAAACCTTGATGTGCATGGGAATCATCTGGGGATCTGGTAAATGCAGCTTCTGATACAGAGGGCCTGCGGTGGGCCCAGGCTGTGCGGGTCTGACAGGCTCCCAGGTGATGGTGATGCTAGGAGTCTCTGGATAAGACTGAGTAGCAAGCCCTAGATCAGTGGTTCTCAACCTTGGCTGCACATTAGAATCGCCTGGGAATCTTTTTAAAATCCTGATTTCTGGGTCTCATCCTCCGGAAATTCTGTTTCTTTGTTATGGGGTGGGGCCACAACATTAGTAACAAAGAAACAGAATTTCCGGAGGATGAGGCCCAGAAATCAGGATTTTAAAAAGATTCCCGGGTGATTCTAATGTGCAGCCAAGGTTGAGAACCACTGATATATATATATGAAAGAGTAGGGAAAGTGTGAGTCTATTTGGTAGGGGCTGTCCTCCCCCCCCACAGGGTTTAAATGGGGGCTTTAATCAAGTATGGTGCGATGCTACACCCTCCCAAAGTAGTCTAGAGCTTTAGTCAGGGGCTCAAACTTGCAAGTTGCTAAAAATATCTCAGGAGATGCTTTGTAGACACCAGAGCTAAAACTGCATTGAGATTATTTTGAGTATATATTTTTTTCTGAAGAGAACTTTCAGATGCTGTGGAAGGATAGGACATTAAAAGGACCACTTATTCAGTGAGTCTATTCTATGCCTGCTTCTGACATAGACTCTTTCATGCTAATGAAGGCCAATGATTTGTAAATGGCCTAACATTGAGATTAAGGAACATTATTTCCTCATCAGTTCCCGTTTTTCACAGCTCTGTATAAGTCATAGGGGGCCTCTCAGCACTTCTTCCGGCCAAATTCTTTGCAATGTCTATGAAGGTCAAAAGGTAAATCTGAAGCAATGGGAAATCCATTAACAGGCGTCCACCAGTCCCGTGGCTTTGCACTTAGCTTCACTACCTCTGGAGGGCGACAATAGCTGCTTGCTCGTTTTCATTCTCTGCCTGAGTTATCCCGAGGAACTGCCATGCCTACAAGAAACAACTGATGTCAACATTGCAGGAGGAAGGAGAATCACTCATGCGCAGTAGTTGGTTTATTTGCCCACGACAGATCCCTCTATGCAGAGCAACCTGTCTCAGGTGGGAGAGTCTTGCAAAAGGGGGAAATATCGCATGCATTTCTTCAGTCAAATTCTTTTGTGACACTTAGAAACCTCTCCTGTGACCCATGGAAACCCCCGTTTCTGAGATATCAGGTATCTTAAGACCAAAAGATAAGTACACGAAAGTATGCATTTGTGATGCAAAAAGGTAGAAAAATAATCCAGAAATGCAGCTAAATAAAGTTTACAATAAGAAATCTCAAGATGTACAAAATTAACTTGTATAAACGAAAATCAAGCAGTTATTAGAAGGGGCAGCAGGAAATTTAGAAACTAGGGAAGAACAAAACCAAACCCCTTACAAGGTGTTTAATGCCCTAATAGAGGGTTGGGCAGGAGGTTTACAGTTTTGAGCACATGACACAGTTTATTCCTGTGTTGTTATTTATTGCATTATTTTCCATGTAAACAACTATAAACCTACTTTTGCTCCACCCTGTATAGTTACTGTTAAAATGCACAAAATATATAAAGTGCAATGTAATGTACCTATAATTTTAAAGCCTACACTTAACACTTTATATTGCATCATTGCATTTTTTCATGTTTTTACAAAATCTTCCTACTTATAGTTCTCAATTTAAATTTTGTTGAATGGATATACTATTATTAACTCAACCAGTTCCTTTATTGCTCTGAGATTGTTTTCAACCCTTTGCTATTGTAAATAATGTGAGGAATATTTTCATATCTAGAATGACATTTTTAATATTAGCACAATAATTCTCACACCATTACAACAGCAATGCACATAAAAAAGACCTCCCATTACACATATTGTCCTCAAATTTGCTGGGGGTGTATCTGAGTCTTGGGGATTTGAAAAGGTTTGGGAAGGGCATAACTCTCCCACCTTTGAGAACCAATGCTATGAATGTTTTAAAACAAGCTGTCTGAAAACACTTATAGAGTCATCTTACAGTGCTATAAGATTATGAATTATTACACATACCATACACACTCATAAAAATACTAATTATTTCCCCCCAGAATTTCAGTGACTCTTTTTAATCTTTCAAATGTACACAAAGCAGCATCCATTTTTTATTTCACCTTCCATACATCCTAGAATGCTTCTTAAGAAGAGATGGGTGAAAGCCTTTCTCTGAGGGCTTCTTCCTAGGCTCTGGGCATCACTTGCACTGTCCATAGAATGTCTACTGTCTTAGATTGGGGTCTACAGATTCAGAAACCCTGGGTCATTCATTATCTAGGACCTGTTTGTAACCAAGTTTCCTCATTTTCTCATTAATGAATCTGGAATAATAACACATACTTTTTCTAACCTCCCAAAGTTGTTGTGTCAAATGATATAATAAACATGAGAACATATGGCATCTAGAAATGTAAGGTGACATTATTTTTTTTTGGGGGGGGTTGACCTGTATTTTTCTATTAATGCAACGATTTTCTCTTCTACAATGACTCAAACATCTTTTTTGTTGTTGTTGACACTATTACAGATGTCTCCCCTTTGCCCGCTTCCACCCAGTCCCTGCCACCCCTCCCCTGGCCTTCATCACTCTGTTGTCTGTGTCCATGGGTTATGCATGTATGTTCTTTGGCAACTCTCTTCACCTTCTTTTTAAAATATCTTTTGAAAAATTCTAATATTTTGATTCAGAATGCCAGTTCTCAGTTCAATCGCATTTCATTAACAGTGTTTTGACTAACAAGATACCAGGGGCTTTTGTGATCAGTTTACTTGTTCTTTCAACATGAAGTACAATTAATAGTATTAATAAAGGCTAAATACTGATGTAGCAGACACTGAACTGAGCACTGAACAAATTTAACCCTCGCAAAACCCAATGAGATGGTTATTATAATCGCGATGTCCACTTTACATATGAGCAAACGGAAGCTAAGAGGGTTTAAATGACTTGCCCCAGACCACATGGCTCATGGCTAACAAGCAGTGGAGCTCAGGATACAGCTGTATTTGAACCCACACAGAATGGCAGAGTCTGAGAAGCTAAACCACTATTCCATACCACCTTCTCAGCACCGGACATACCCATTCCTAAAAATTTCTCAAATTCCTCTGGGCATATTTCTTATAAGAATTTTCCTGGAAATTACAATCTAGGAAGAAGGACTTTATACCTGCCACTATCCTATGGCAGGCCTTCACAGGTTTGGAAGTGCCGTGGAGCAAGACAAGATTGCAGAAGCCTCTTTGGCGGTCTCTCCAATCACCCTTCACACCTCAGAGAAAGGGGGTTTTCTAACATGCCTTTTCCTAGTGCTCCCTCCCCATGGCTTTCAGGATGAAGTTCAGTCTCTTGCCTACCTCTTCTTGCCTCCACTCCTGCCATTCTCTCCCCCCTCATCCCCTCGCCTAACCTAACGTTTCAGGTCCCTCTGCTCAGCCAAGAACCATTTCCTCTGAACAACAACTCCACTCCCCTGCTGTCTTTAATGAATCCTCTCTCCTTGAAAACTCGGCTTTGGATCCACTTAGCGGGAAGGCTGAGTCAGTGTCTTGCTGTCTGCTCTCCTCGCCTCCTGTGCACTTGCATTTATTACACTGCACTGGTTTGTTTACTTGCCCCTCCGGATAGACCACTGACCCGTCTTTTCAGTTGTTCCATTTCTCTGGACTTTCAGGGATCTGAGCCTAGTGTGGGGCACAAATCCGGGGACGGAGTGTGTATTCAATAAATGTGGAGGGAGTAAATCAATGGGGAGAGAGGTGTCTCTAGACCCAGACAAGGCAGCACACTGCCCCCTGAATACCGCTGCCGAGCTTCCAGGTAGGCAATTTTAGTTTTTCATTTCTTTCCTCCACCCTTTCTTTTGTGGCACCATAGATAGATATTGCAGATTTGGTTAGAAAACAGCTTATATCACACTACGCCAGGCTAACTCCTTTGGGAACTGTTACTCGATGAAAATGCCACCAGTAGAGCTCTGTGTCACCCTCTGTCCCTGCACTAGCGTGTACAGCCCCCCTCTGAGCCTGGCAGGATGAGGGGGAAAGACACCTCTGCATCTCCCGGGTCCTGAAGAATCGCGGCCTCCATGAACAGGATGGTGACTGGGAGGTCCCCTTCCTTCAGCCTCTTTAAGCCTTCTTCAAAGGCGCCTGGCCAGTCCTTGAAGGGGTTTTCAGTGTGGAAGTAATAGCCCTACAACACAGAAGGGCCAACACAGATCCATCGGTTTATCTCCTCATTCTCACATGCAGTAAGCTCTTTTAGAATTTAAATTAAAGTGTTTAATTAATTTAATTGCCATTAAATTCTTTTTTATTATTTTTTGAATATTTTATTTTATTTTATTTATTTTTAATATATATATTTTATTGTTGATAGTATTACAGATGTCTCCCATTCCCCCCTTTAACCCCCTCCTCCCAGCTCTTACCCACCCCCTCAGGTCTTTGCCACACTATTGCCCGTGTCCATGGGCTATGTACTAAGTAATATATAAGTTCTTTGGTTTATCTCTTCTCATCTCCCCAACCCCCAATTGAGGTATGTTTTATTGTGGTGAAATTTTATTTTATATACATAACATAAAATTAACCATTTAAATTTAAATTACTGTTTTTTTCTTATTATGAATGTACATTTTCATTGTATACACTTTAGATTTTGTCGATTTTGTCATTGACTAATATAAAACGTACCCAAAATGCCGCAACCTAAATATGATCACTGCTAACATTTTGGAGTTTGTTTTCATTCTAATATTTCTTTTGTTCATTTTGTTTTAACCATCCCCTGCCCTGCTCCTCAAGATTGCAAAAATACTGAGTTTTTGCATATATTTTTGCTACATGCTCCCACTCAGTCCCCTGAAGTGTTAATACCTCATACTGTACATCTGTTTATGCACTGTGGCCCTTTTGAGGGTTATAAACCATTGTAATATCTAAGATTTCTTTTGTCCTCCCACTCCTCAAACCAGTGTATGCCCCATTGCTGGCTATATCGCCCACTGAGAATGCATGTTTTAAAGTTATAGATCTTCTTTCATTGTAAAAATTTAAACAATGCAGAATGTTCAAATAATCTTCTAGTGTTTTTCTATGACTATACACATTAAACAAATACGCTCATGCTATCGGTGCAGTTTTACAGTGTAAGCCCCACTTCGTTTTAGTCATTATAATTATTTATATTAACATTCACTTAGTCAAGCCCATATTGATGGACTTTCAGATTATTTTCATTTTTTTCATAAATAAATTTACAGTGAAAGCCTCATGCTCAAATCTTTGTGTGCATTGATTATTACCTTAAGATAGACTTCTAGAGAGATTTATTAGGCTAAAGCTATGAACTATCTTGAGGCCCTTGATATGTGTAGCTGAATTGTTCTTGAGAAAGTATGTCCCAATTTAAACTCTCAACAGAAGTCCCTGAGAGACATTATTTATTGCAATGTTAGCTACATGGATTATAATAAAATCTTTCTAATTTGATAGATATAATTAAGCTAGTCTGTTGATGATGCTACTGAGGTTTTAAAATAGATCAAATGGAGACCTTCAGAAAGACAAACCCCTTATCAAAAGCCACTGAGCTTATGTAATTGTGTTGCGGATTTGGGGTCCCAGGAGTGTGGGGCTCAGGGTCCTAGCCATATCTCAGGTTCAAGGACTGTAGTTCAAAGGGGGGGGGGGATGGAAATTGTAATTAGAGTCTGATGTTCTGCATCAATGTTCTTTCTTCTTACCTAGTTTTGATTTTTTTTTTTTTTTGTAGAAAAGACAGTTATTCTTAATGAGAGGGTTGTTCCAAGTTTATGAGATTGCCTGGCCTACTGAGGGACACAGAATATGAAGAAGAGAAAGACATTTTAATGACTATGTAGATTGAAAATCCCCTAAGATCAGAGACTATTAATCATCATTTCCCTAGTAGCTAGTGCAGAGTAGACACAAATAAATATTTGTTGGATTGAACTATCATGGAAATTATCCAGAACTAAATATTATTGAGACTTCCTCCACCAAAATCACAATACAAGCATATACTATACCTGATTCCCCTCCCCAGTATAAGAAAATTCCACATATCTTTTTATCTTTCAAGTCATTTAAACTTATTTCTCAAGCCCTCCCCTCCCCAACTGTTTTTAAAAGCACAAATCCAAGGGCAACTGGGACCTCATGGGTAATTTGGCTGGTTGTTCACTGAGCTCGAATTTGCTGGAGCTCCTGTCAGGGAAATATCTCTGAGGGATCCCCTTGGGACTTGACCTGGTTGTGTGAAGGCTACCTTTTCCACTGAGTTTCTTTGCTAGCTGTATAATGACTACCTGTGAGATACAGTCCTAAGCCCTGCTTCATTCCCCTGCCCATTAATATCACTTCTGTCAGCTCATCTATGTGGCTCATGGGACTGACTAACAAAAAGCATTGTGGGATTAGCCCAGGTCTTGTTCCAACACACCCTCAAAGTCAGCTAGGCAAGCAGACAGGATCCAAGCTGTAGTTGACTGCCAAACTGTCTGTATCAACATTGATAAAAATAAGGGTATTCCATTCCAGCTTTGCTGCTCTGACACATTGTTTGATTATATTGCTTTCATCTACCAGAATTTCTCCTAGATCTGATTGATATTAAATTGTCTGTTTGATTCTTAGATTTTTTTTCACAAAATGATTACCAACTAATGTATAATTATATGATTCAGAGAGATTGAGAAAACATGTCAGCATATATAAGAAGAGAATTGGTCACCTTCTCGCTAGCTGAAATTGTAACTTGGTTCTGGGCTTCTTGGTTCTCGGATATCCAGTTCCTCCGGGCCATTTCTTCCCATTCTGCTTGCATCTTATCCCAAAACTCTGTATCTGACTAGGAGACAGGAAAAATCAAGAGAGATGGATTTAAGAGCATGCTCGATCGTTTGGGTTATTTCCAGAAAGACAGTTTTCCTTATGGATCAAAATGATACTCATAGTCGAAGAGTTTCTGGGGGGTCCTCAGAGGTCAGAGTGTTGAACTGAATGAACTGTGACTTTCCCCAGCAGGAAAATCGCTATCATCTGAAGCTCCTGGATCATTTAGACCAAATTCAGCTAAAAATCCATTACTTGACCAGACACAGGTTTTAGGAAGGGTGGCCTTTCCTCCTAGGATATGAGGAGCTAGAGCAATAGCTTAACAGCTTTGGGACTGGGTAGGCAGTGACTTGGTGAGGCAGTTGGCTATGGACAAAGAAAAGTAACATTAGTTGATCCTACTCTGCACCATGCACTGTGCTGGGAGAAATGTAATCCTAGAAGGCTATGGTCACAAAGCTAGGGTTGCATAGGATTTGACTCCTAGTCTGGCTTCCAAGGTCAGGCTTATCACCTTATGATAAACCTGGCCTCCTGAAGCTAAAGAATGAAGGACCCTGGCTTTGTGAACTTGACTGAGTCATCTTCAAGGTCTTTTCTATGGAAGGATAATTTTTAAAAAATCACTTATTTTTTTTACAGTTTTTTTTTTTAATCTTTCAAAAGGGAAACCTGTTTTTACTTCAGAGGAGATCTGTGTTCTGGATGGAGGCAGAATTTTTCTCCAAGATCTGTTCCAGGTTGGCTTAGGTGTCCTGGGAGAGGAAAAAGGGGCAAGTGTCTTAAAGAACTTAAGAGAGGAAGGGGAACTTCCCAGGGGTGGGGAGAGAAGAGGTGGTAGGTTCTGAGATGAGTGAGAGACTGGTGCTTAGTTTTTAGGTATTTCCCTAGCAAATTAGACTGACCTCCTAGGGGATGACAGAGGGGATGACTGGGGGAGAGGCCTGACTTGAACTCTGATCTCCATGTGTCAGGGAATAGAGAAAAAATTGAATTTTAAGGAGCCACTTGGGGCTTGGCTGGCTGTTAGCAGCAGCAAGGCAAATAAGAAAGTGAAGACTCATCCTTGTTTTCTGGCAGCACAAACGCTTCCCAGATTTGGTGTCTGAGACTAAATTACCTTCCCAGTGTGGCAAGAGAGGTGCTTGGAAACCATCTTATTGTCTTTTAAAGAAAACAAAGAAATGGACATTTCCTGAACACCCAAGTCTGGGGCTGAGATCCATACTCTAGCTGCAAATCTCAATTTCTATGATTCTAAGTCCTGTGACTTGTTGACACACCATCAACTTGATTTGAGGTTGCTTTTCGCCTTTGAATCCTCCCAGTCTCACCTTCCACACCACCCTCATGCCTGGTGGTGGTTGTGCTGTGGCGGGAACTCTTCAAAGCTGCTTGGAATGATAGATATAACCTTATTTCTTCTGCATACAAATGTTCAGGGAATAAAGGTAAACACAATGTGACTAATCCCAGGCTACTAAATAAATAGTAGATCTTGCTCTCTTCCTTTATCGTATCCAGAATTCTCATTCCTACCACAGTGCTCAGTGGGGGCCTCCCTTCAACGAAGGCTCAGGGCAGCAGGCATCTTGAGATCTATGATTGGGATGCTAGAAGCACATGGAATGACCACGTCGCATCCAGGTTAAAATTGGGAATAAAATTCAAAATTTTTTTACAATGAGTGGTTTTAGTAGAACACCAAATTGTGCAAACAATGATCTCAGGTATACAAAGGCAATGGCTAGATAAACTACTTGAAGGAAATATGCTACCACGCTAAGAGTAATCTCTTTGAATGAAGGGACAATGGGTGATGCTTCTCCTGCTTCTTTACATTTTTCCATACTTTCTGAATTTTCTGATTTTGCATTAATTTTACAATAATAAAGGTTAAAAACAACAATAAAAATACATTAGCTTTCCCTTTTTAGTACCATGAAACCTGAACACTTAGATACTAAGGAGTTAGGAGAAATTTTTTTGGAGTCTCATTGTCTGCCTTGAATAGCTTTTCAAAGATGCAGGCTCATCCTGTCTTCATAGATGCTGACAGAAATCTGTCAAGTGAACTTTACAATGTTTACTGACTTTCCCAAGCCCCCTGGTGGGTAATGTGAAGTGCCAATGACTTCCAGTACTTTTTAAGGCAGTTACTTGTTCCCCTATTGAGGTTCTTCAGAATTTAAAGCGATTACAAGTCTTTTGAAGGAAGGAACGAGAAAGATTTTATAATGTGTGCATCTGGGTTATAAAAAGATACATCACTTTCCTGCAGTTTCAAATGCGAGCAGGGGGTGCATAAATAAAACTACTGTGGGCATCAGAGGAACCTCAGCTCAGAGAGGGGGAGGGGCTGCCCGGCTCTCATTTAATGATACACACCAGGCCTTACTGTTACCACTTAGAATAAGTTCTGACTAATTAGAGTGCACAGCACAGTTTCATTTAATTACAGAAGACTATTTTTAGCACAATCAATTTTCATCCAGCCTCAAAATCCAGACTTCATTCACCTAACCGCAATTAACACTGCTGCTTTTTTTCTATTTCTAATCAGTTTCAAGAAACCTGAGACATATTTGAATTTTAAACATTTTAGACAGGACTGAGGGGATTTAATATATTGATGATTTTCTTAGTTGTCCTGATATTTTGGTAGGTTTTTTTTTTAATATTCCACAGGTAATAAGTTATATGCTTATACCAGAAATGAGCTATTGTTGCAAACCATTTTCATTTTCAAAAATAGCTTGCTGATGATATCAATGGTATTCTTAAAAACTTGGGATATGCAGTATGATGGTTAAGAACAGCAGCTCTCTCCTCAGACGAACCTGGGAACAGATTCTGGCTCCATCACTAACCTTCTGCAAGTACTATTACCTCCCCAGGTCTCATTTTCCTTAGCTTTAAAAGGAAGATATATAATAGTGATCTTGGTTACTTGTTATGAGCACTAAATGAGAAAATGTAAATGTGGCATATAGCGCATGGTAAATGCTCAATAAAAGTACGTGTTCTTGTTAGTGTTTTTCCAGCATTGAAAACTATATATATATAAAAAAACGAACGAAAATCACCCACAATATCAAAGATCAAATATCTCTATTTGGTGTTTTAATTACATATTCTTTTCCAGATATCTTTCCATTAGTCATATACATCTTTCCCTTCTAATTATTAAAAAAGAGGAGGAAAGTTAAGAATGTTGTGGCAAAAATGGACTGTTATATAGCAATTAAAATGGTACTTATGAAGAACTTCTTACAACCTGGACTAGCTTTTGAGTTATAATGTTTCTTGATAAGTAATATGATCACAATGATAGAAAACAACAAATAACATGCCGGGGAAGCACCAATAGCACTCCTTTCATGGGATGGGATTATGAATAATTTGCAGCCATCACCTTTCCTTGTACTTTCAATATTTCCCAAATTTTCTATTACTAGCATGTGTTATTCTGGTGAAAAAGTGGTTAAAAATGGTCACATCTTTTCAGTTTTACTTCCTCCATTGATCCCACACTAGAGCAATTTCTTGCCTCTCTGAATTCCTTCCACACATATTCAGTGTTAGTGGTTTAGAACAAGAGAGGTATGCACTAGAAACTGCCATTACCCCTGTGAACTTGAGCAAGTCATTTTAATCCATCTGTACATTATTTTTTCTTATTTGTAAATTGAGAAGACTGGATTTATTAGCTAAATAGCTGAGGCTTCATTGTCTAGGATTCAGATCAGAATAAGCGTAAGGAAGTGTGTTCACTGATCTCGAAAAATTATACTTTAAAGCATTTTCCCCAAAGCATATTTGACATTTTCCCTTCAGTTTTTTATTGTAAAACTAGAAAATAAAAATTTCTATGAAAATCATGACAAAATTAAATATTAATTATAATAAAGAATAAGAAAATAAGTAATTTAATTTAGAACCAGGACATTTTAAAGATAGCAACATATTATCACTTCCCATTCACCAGTCTGTTCTGGTCATCCTTGAGTTAAAACAGAAATATTTTAAACTTTGTGGTCAAACATAACTGCTGATTAGAATGATCCTGGCGTTGTGCTGTGCAAGGACTGATCCGTGTGAGACTATATGCCATTTCTGCCTGTCAGGAATCTCACTTTCTTTTTGCCTCTTTTTAAAAAAAATTAAATTCTTTTTTATTTAAAGTATTACATGAGTCTCCTTTTCCCCCCATTGACCTCTCCCTGGCCACTCCCACCCCCTAGCACATGCCCTCACCTCCTACTGTGTGTCCATTGGTTATGCTCATATGCATGCATACAAGTCCTTGGGTTGATCTCTTACCCCCTCATCCCTCACCTTCCCTCATTGGTTGGACAGTCTGTTCGATGCTTCTGTATCTCTGGTTCTAATTTTTGCTCATCAGTTTATGTTGTTCATTATATTCCACAAATGAGTTAGATATGTGATATTTATCTTTCTCTGACTGGCTAATTTCACTTAGCATAATGCTCTCCAGTTCCTTCCATACTGTTGCAAATGGTAAAAGTTCCTCCTTTTTAATAGTGGCATAGTGTTCCATTGTGTAGATGTACCACAGTTTTCTAATCCACTCATCTGCTGATGGGCACTTAGGCTATTTCCAAATCTTAGCTATTATAAATTGTGCTGCTATGAACACAGGGGTGCATATATCCTTTCTGATTGGTGTTTGTGTTTTCTTGGGATATATTCTTAGAAGTGGGATTACTGGGTCAAATGGAAGTTCCATTTTAAATTTTTTAAAAATATATTTTATTGATTTTTTACAGAGAGGAAGGGAGAGGGATAGAGAGTTAGAAACATCGATGACAGAGAAACATCGATCAGCCGCCTCCTGCACACCTCCTACTGGGGATGTGCCTGCAATCAAGGTACATGCCCTTGACCGGAATCGAACCTGGGACCCTTCAGTCTGCAGGCTAACGCTCTATCCACTGAGCCAAACCGGTTAGGGCCCATTTTAAATTTTTTGAGGAAACTCCATACTGTTTT